ATTGGACAAGATTTGACAAAATTATTAATGTTTAACTATTTTAAATCATTGAATTTGCCAGTCTTTTCAATGTAATTTTCAGTTTTCCTAAATATATTGTCCTGAAAAACACTATTCATTAAAAACAGTCATTTGATCAGCTTATCACAGATTTTTGTTCTTGTTAATCATCATTTGTGCAAATTTCAGAAATATTGGACCAGATTTGACAAAATTATTGTAGTTTAACTATTTTAAATCATTGAATTTGCCAGTCTTTTCAATGTAATTTTCAGTTTTCCTTAATATATTGTCCTGGAAAACACTTTTCATTAAACACAGTCAACTGATCAGCTTATCACAGATTTGTAATCTTGTTAATTATCATTTGTACAAATTTCATAAACATGGGACAAGATTTGACAAAATTATTAATGTTTAACTATTTTAAGTCCTGTGATTTGCCAGCATTTTCAATGCAATTTTCAGTTTTCCCAAATATATTGTCCCCAAAAAACACTTTTCATTAAACACAGTCAACTGATCAGCTTATCACAGATTTTTATCCTAGTTAATAATCATTTGTACAAATTTCATAAACATTGGACAAGATTTGACAAAATTATTAATGTTTAACTAATTTAAATCATTGGATTTGCCTGTCTTTTCTATGTAATTTTCAGTTTTCTCAGTTATATTTTTTCTTTTTTCAGAGTACCCTTACCATGAAAAAGCAGGCAGTGAAAGACAGCACCAAGAGCAGCACTATGTCTTGTCCATTTGTACAATACATGATATTTGGCAATTTTTGGGACATTGTCAAATAATGTGATAACAACAACCCCTCCCAGAAACCCATTGTAAGGAGTAATCTGCATCTGGCATTGGTAGTAAGGAGAAGTCTTGTATGGGTATATATTATTTTCCAGATGACAGTTATAGGTAATTTGCAACCTCTTACACAAACAGCCTCAAATCATCACATTTGCCGTAATACATACGTAAAACAGAGTAAGAAATACATTGCAATATTGAAATATTTGTTTTGGTTAATTCTCACTCTTCTGATGATGAATTTCCTATAAACGTGACACTTAAAAATTAACAGAGACAGCTGATCAGCTTATCACAGGTTTTTATTATGTACAGACACAGATGTGTCTGTACATATTGCTGTCACCTGCGTCTGTCGTCGCCGTCGCCGTCGGCGCCGTGCACTTTCCTTGTAAACACGATAAGTGGAAGGCAGTTTTACTTTTTGGCTTTATATTTATAGAGCTGATGAATATTCATAAAATGCAGTTCAAGTTCGAAAATCAGCATGATCGGGCCATTATTGTAGTAGTTATGCTGTTTTTTCACTTTTCAGCATATATGCAACACTGTAAACACATTTCAAGGAAAACCGATAGGCCTGTTGTCCTAAAACTCACGGGAGTAATCAATCTTACTAAAACGCAGGTCAAGTTCAAAAATCAGCATGACCGGGCCACTATTTTAGTAGTTATGCTTTTTTTTTCACTTTTCAGCATATATGCAACACTGTAAACACAATATAAGAATAACAAATTGGCCAATTGACATTAAACTCACAGGAATGGTCAATCTTCCTAAAACGCAGATTAAGTTCAAAAATCAGCATAATTGGGCCATTATTTTAAAAGTTATGTTGTTTTTTCACATTTCTTCAGATTCAATTCTTAGGCATGTTAACAGTCTCATTATTTAACTAATAAGATACGTGAAAGTGTTTGTTTGACATTTCCTGCATCTTTACAACATTGTTAGTTGATTATGTAAAAATGATGGTAAACTTGTTATTGTGTATTGTGTAATAAAGTTTCAAAAATGGAGATAAACTCATATCATTGCAGTTTGTCAGATTCAATCATTCACTATGTTCAGAATCTTGGAATGGAGGAAATGGGACATTTAACACTGCTCTATTGATATTTTTCCCATCTCATCAATTTTCTTAGTTTATCATATAAAAATGGCAGTAAACTGTTAATTTTGTTTTATGTTAAAAATTGTTAAAAATGGGGGAAAAAACATTTCAGAACAGTGCTGTCTTGTTTACATTTTGGCATTTTCAAGTTTTGACTTTGAAGTTCCATGGGCCTGAAGACCTATGCTAGTCACATTTTCTGAATATCCATGATACTAATATTTTATTATTAAAAATTGATGGTCATNCAGCAGCCTATTTTGTTATTTCCTGCTTTTTGTCTGTACATTTGACAGCTTTGCTGCCTTGTTCTTGTTAATTATCATTTGTACAAATTTCATAAACATTGGACAAGATTTGACAAAATTATTAATGTTTAACTATTTTAAGGCCTGCGATTTGCCATTCTTTTCAATGTAATTTTCAGTGTTCCAAAATATATTTTCACAAAAAACACTATTCAGTAGATATAGTCAATTGATCAGCTTATCACATATTTTTATTGTTGTTAAGCATCATTTGTACAAATTTCAGAAATGTTAGACAAGATTTGACAAAATTATTAACATTTAACTATTTTAAGTCCTGCGATTTCCCAGTCTTTTCAATGTAATTTTTAGTTTTCCCAAATATATTGTTCTTAAAAACACTTTTCAGTACATACAGTCAACTGATCAGCTTATCACAGATTTTTATTGTTGTTAAGCATAATTTTTACAAATTTCAGAAATATTGGACTACATTTGACAAAATTATTAACATTTAACTATTTTAAGTCACTGAACTTCCATTCTTTTCAATGTAATTTTCAGTTCTTTCAGTTATATTGTTCTTGTTCCAGAGCACCCTTACAATGAAGAAGCAGGCAATGAAAGACAGCACCAAGAGCAGCACTATGTCTTATCCATATGTACAATACATGATATTTGGCAAGATTTAGGACATTGTCAACTATTGTGATAACAACAACCCCTTCCAGAAACCCATTGTAAGGAGTAATCTGCATCTGGCATTGGTAGTAAGGAGAAGTCTTGTATGGGTATATATTGTTTCCAGATGACAGTTATAGGTAATTTGCAACCTCTTAAACAAATAACCTCAAATAATGACATTTGCTGTTTTCTTTTAGAGTAAATAATACATTGCAATATTGAATTATGTTTTGGTTAATTCTCACTCCTCTGATGATCAATTTCCCATAAACTTGACACTTAAAAGAAGACAGACAACTGATCAGCTTATCCCAGATTTTTATTGTTGTTAAGCATCATTTGTACAGATTTCAGAAACATTGGACAATTTTTTTTTTTAATTATTAACGTTTAACTATTTTAAGTCATGGAATTTTGCATTGTTAATTTTCAGTATAATATTCAGTTTTCTAAAAAAAATATTATCCGAAGACAAGACTTTTCATTAGTCACAGTCAAATGATCAGCTTATCACAGATTTTTATTGTTGTTATGCATCATTTGTACAAGTTTCAGAAATATTGGACTCGATTTCACAATTATTAACGTTTATCTTTTTTACGGCCTGGGATTTCCCAGTCTTTTCAATATAATTTTCAGTTTTACCAAATATATTGTTTCAAAAAAATCTTTTCATTAGTCAAAGTCAATGGATAAGTTTACCATAGATTTATATCTTTGTTAAGCATCATTTGTACAAATTTCATAAATATTGGTGAAGATTTGACAAAATTATATATTATATTTGTATTTTGGTTCGTTTGCAAAGTCGTCTTTAGAAAATTCTTACATTTTTTCAAGTACATACACCATTAAAAGCTCTTTTACTATTTAAAATTCTCCCTTTGAATGACTTAGTATTTTAGGCTGGTTTATTATAATCATCAAAAATATTTGCAAAAAGTACATCTTAATTTTAGATTAACTTTTTGGATCGAAAAGTACCATAGATCACAGCGATTGTCCCAAGAGAGGATTGAAGATTAATCCAGCGAACTTTGTAAGTATATTTTTTGGACTTCATTTGAAAAAAAATACATCTGTCTTTTTTAGAAACCACTTTATTTTCCTATTAAATGTAATTTTCAATGGAAATTAGTCCAGAATAACATAGTTAAAACAAGTTTTGTCTTCCTTTAAATTTCTGTATACTGTCCTTCTAAAATTAACAATAAAATTTTGAAATGCAGCTGTGGTGAGATTTGACACAAATGATTTTTTAAGATATTTAAGAAATAAGTGATAGTTCTTTAAAGTGCTATATATCAATAATTTTATGTGCCACTTTGAATAAATGGAAATTTGTTGAATCAGTTTTTATAATATTTCAGGTGGTCCTACAGAGTGGACAAGAAGCAGAAGCAGGCAGGACCTGCCTAGAAGGGATGGACCTTGTTCTATTTTTTATTTGGTTAGTTAAGTACAATATATGACTGCAATATCATGTTTGTTGTTGATAAACAGATTTAAGAATATTTCTGTTCAGTGACAGAACAGTCACTGAACAATTTCAGAAAAAGATAATTGTTACTGTTCTTACATGACATTTACAATTTAAAGATATGTGCATATGACTTCAAGTGTAACTCAAAACCTGTCTTTGAAGAATTAATTTAATTTAATTTAATAATAAATTCAATTTAATTGTCTATTTTTCAGCTGAGGAGACAGTAAAACCCACATCAAGTCAGACATGTCCTTGCAAGAATGGTGTCAAATGTAAGCCAGATCCAGAAACTGGTGGGCTGGTGTGTTTGTGCTTGAATAGTAAGTATCTGGGTTAGAAAAACAATTATAATAAAGAAATTGAAAATGTTGTTGTAATTGAGACGAAAACGTGATTTGTGTCAGTAATCAAAAAGCACAGCAAACAAATGACGATTTTAATAGGAAGAGGAAATATAGTTGGTGCCAAGCTGATGATTTTACAAATCAAAAATACATTCATGGAGTTTGTGGAGATGAAGAACACAGGGGTTTGCTGTTGTATACTGGCTGTTTATCTTGTGAAATCTACCCAAGTTTATGAATTGATATAATTAAAGAAAAATGCAGCATGGCTTGCCTACATCTGAAATGGAGTGATGTTTTTGTTTAAATGTTATTTAAAGTCAATATTTTTGTCACTCTGTAGTTAAATAAATTTGATCAAATTTCAGACTATTATGGGGAATACTGTGAAGAGGAGCCTTCAGCATTCACTGGATGTTCATGTAAGTTGATAGTAGACCACATAATCTTTTTTAACATCCTTTTTGAGGTCAAATTAAAAAGACTGTATTTTGTTGATTATCATATTTCATAGTAAGTTTCTTTTTAACATTTTGCATCTAAGTAAATTCATCTTATGTCAGTTTTGGTTGTTCTTGTCCAATAGTGCTGTATGGTATTTTTATCATTGTAAGTAAGTCCCTGTTACTTCTTCCATGAATTATTTCCCTTCCTGATTTGAAACATTTCCATTAAACATGGTATTTCAGAAACAGCTGCCATTGTGGTCCCCATTATACTTGTGGTCATCTTATTAGAGATCTTTATTGATGTGTTCCTATTTCTGCCAAGAAGAATGTAAGATTTCTCTCTCTCTCTCTCTCTCTCTCTCTCTCTCTCTCTCAATGAATTTTAAGAAAAATTTGTTAAGCCCTCTTAGATGATATCAAATGCATCTTAGAAAATGAGGTGTTTAGTATCAAACAGTCTTTTATTTAAGGTACAAAAGGTATAATTATTGCAGCATTTTTTTAAAGATTCATTTAATATTTATTGTATGTCCAAATCTTAATCTTTTGGTACATATATCAAATGATTCCCCTGCATATTGAAATAGTTGTT